TTTTCAGAAAGTTCATGAACAAAATTCTCCTAGCACGATTAATATAAATGAAAACTAAGCACATGTATGGTTTCAGGGCTATGAGTACAACATCTTTCATTCACAAACCTAAGTCTAACTATTCCTAAATAGAGAGATAGAAGTTCATGAAATACCTGTTTCAATTGACTTCGAGCTGGACAATGCAACAACTTCCAAGGGTGCTTGAGGTTCTTTTGAGCTTGTCTGATGTCCAATGAAGCTTTCCCAATGCCTGGCTTGTTTTAAAATAGCCTGAATCGTGCTACAGAACTCAACCTGCAAAGCTTTGAAACAAAAATGGCAATTTATGTTAATGGTGTTACAGCTAGCAATGGAGGTCTGGGATAGTTCAGGTGAGTTGAGTGGAAGGTATTGGAACAAGTTTGAGGCAAAACGCACGAAGGAAAGTAGAGATGGAGGTGGTTCTGCAGGGCTTGCCTTGTTTTGCAGAAAAATGGGGTTTTGGAGTATGAGGGTGCTTTAGGGGTGAAAGGCTTGTGCTTCTGACTTGTGAGGATATGCAAAACCAGTTTGACAACTTTGTTTTTGTTGGTTTTCAGATGTGAGAGATGCCTTGTGTTTTGCAAGTTTTCTTCTTCTTGAAGCAAAAGAGAGGAAGTGAGGTTATAGACTTGTACAGGCCATCCTATCACCCTGCACACAACCCTCTTGGCCCCTCTAATTAGTGGATTTTGTTTGCAGCATAAGATCTGGTTCAATGCTCTATGATGTTGTTTTGACATAAAGCAAAGTTCAAGCAAAAATGGCATTGTTACTTTTTCCATTTAAGGCTTAATCTAGTGTACAATGCCCTAATGACCAAAACAATGCCTTGGATCAATGGATATGCATTAAATTATGGAGTACAAACTGGTTTAGAGGCCTGTAATTGTGAACCAAGCTATCTAGATCAAATTTGGCAAGTGGTATGAACATGTATTGGCCATGGATCAAAGTGAGTTTTTGCCAACTTCAAGCATTCGATTCTCCCTAACTACAAAGGTGTTTGAGGAGTTCTTGGACAATTTGGAAAGCTTGCAACATGTACTACAATCCATATTTGAAATGCAACTTGAAACTCCAAGTGTAACTATGTGAAAAATGGCCAAGAAGATGGGTTAAAATCCTGCCTAAACTAGGGCAAAATTTCTCTAAGTTAAAAGTTTTAGGTACCCTTGTTCCAAAAATCATAAATTGAGATACAAGTCTCTTTTGAGAAAACTTTGTGAATAAAAGTTGTATACTTTTTGATAGAATACAACTTTCATGTTGCAAGTTTTGTTTGAATACATTAGAATCTTGGTGAAAAAATGGGACAAAGTTAGGAAAAAATAAGAAAATTTCATAACTTAGAAAAATTCTAAGTTATGAAATATTTTCCATTTTAAACCCTAATTTGCATTTTTAGGTTTCTTGATGAACAAGTTTCATAATTTGACATGTCTTGATGAAAAATGACCTTTGGCATTTGATTTTGACCAAAAAGTCAAAGTTTGACTTTTCAGTATACAGTCAAATTTTGATCAGTTGACTGAAAAATTCATCTGTCAATCCTAGGCATTTGAGATCTTTTGAACTTGTTGAATGGGTCAAGACAATTTCATTGAGTCCTTGAGTCCTTGGTTGAGCTTGATTTGTCATTGGGTAGGTCAAACAGTCAAAAATTGCCTTTGTACAGTCAAAACCCTAAAAATGACCATTTTGCCCTTTTGGTGATCTGATCAAATTTCTTGTGGAATTGTGATCCAAAATTGATCAAATGGTTCATATGAGTTCATAATTTTGATGTGAATCAAATTTCATGAGGCTTGACTGTCAATTGGCCACATTTGACTTTTTCTCCAATACAACTGATTTCTAGGTCAACTGTCCAATTGACTGGGCAAAAATTTGAATCAAGGCTTGAAACTTGGTATGGACAAACTTATGAGTCCAACATGAAGTATGAAAGTCAATTTGGGCATTGTAGGTCAAAACATCACTGTGCAAACTCAAACCCTGATTTAGGTCAACAGTGCAAGGAGGTGTCTTGAGCAGAGCAAACCCTAGCTTGATCTTGAGTTCCAAGAGTCTTGTGATGAAAAATGTTGATGAAATGAGAGGGCAAATTTTGGGGTACAACGGATATGGAGAAACCAGGTGGCCCCTGAGGCCTATGAAAAATATTTCCCCATGGAGGGGGAGTCTCTTGTGAACCCTGTGGGCCTATATAGGTCAAAAGAGGGCCGATATAAGCGTTCAACTGTGTTACGTTGAACTTGTTGACGATGATATAACCTCAAAAGAAGGCGCAAAAACTGTGGTTCCCCCTGTCGAAGTGACTGAGGGTGGTACTTCATCATTGTTAGGAGGATTTTGATTACCCGTCTAGCCTTGATTTTCCATTTTCCTAACGTACTTTCTTTTAGGTATTTCCTTGTTGTTTGTGGCTAACTTACCACTCCTAAGTCTCATACAACACAAAAAATACAAAAGGATGATGAAGATTTTCAAAACTTTTTCTAATAGAACAAAAATAATTCGTTTATTGAACATAGGTCCCACCGGGTGAGCCAATTTGTTTACCGTGAAATTTGGTAAACAATCGTTGATCTCCCAAATTGAATAAAAAATGGTAACTTGCAGGATCAACCAAATTGATCCTAAGTACATGTGTTCTTAATCAAACTTCTATTCTTGAAAATGAAGAATACTTTCGACAATATTATTATTCTCTTAAAAATAACATTGATTTCAATTGTTACTTCAAATACAATAATGTAACGCTTTAAAGAAAAGTCTGGAATGTAAAAGGTTTTCGACTAAAATTTAAAGGAAATGTATAAAACTTCAATTAAAGTTGAATGACAATAAACATAAAACTGGTGCATCATATGTACATTCTCACAATTTGTTTCTCGAATGCTGGTACTTTGAGTAATTTAGAGTAATTTGTACAAAGATGTGAATACACCGAATCCTAATACTAAGACCCCTATTTATACTAATTCGACCAAAACAGTCTCTTCATAAAATGTTGTCACGTTCGATATCTTCATGCAATTTTGAACCTTTTGCTTCCACATGTCTCTTTGGATAAGATCAAACTTTCAAATTTGAAAAACTCTTTTGCCTTTGAATCGCCAAACGTGACGGTCGAAATATCTAATCTGATACTTTGAATAGTTTAAATCCCAATGGTTCACAAACGAACCTTTTGCCAACACTTAGTGAAATAAAACTCTCATCAGTTCTTCATCCATCGAAGTCTTCATAGAGACTCCTTCACACTTCCTTTAAAACTACATTCTTCTCAAAATATATCATTTCAGCTTAAGAGCTCATATAGTCAAAATTCCCAATCAACAACGCCTTTAAGTCAGAACGCAAACCAAAAATATACTTCTGGTTGCCACCGTAAATTCAATTCCAGTTCCTATCTTGATTGGATTCTAAGGCCAGACCATTGTGTATGTTTGGGGGTGCAATCAGAAATATATTTACGGTTGCCACCAGAGGTGTATTTCCAGTCTGTACCCAACTTTTATATACCATATATGCATGGGCAAGGTGCGTATCGAAAATAAATTTCCATTTTTAAGGGACATTTTTGAAATTTCGCGTGGTGCACTAGAAAACTATAGGGTAGAAAAAGAAGTCCCCACTATTAAGCTGAAGAAGCCCATCAACAATGTAACTGAAGCCTTTATGGCCATTTTCCATTAAATGAAATATTTTCTTGTAAAAAAGGTAAAATCCATTAGAAAATTTCTTTGTACACCTCTTAGAGTTGAGAAAAAACCTATGAAAACCCGAAAGTATCCTTCGGAGATGTATCTCTGAATGCATTTCAAATCAAAGTGTTTCGGAGATGCATATCTGAAAACACCAAAAATATCAAATTTTGGGATGAATTCGAAAATGTACTTCCGAAAATACCCAAGATAGAGTTTTGTCTCTGTATAATTCGGAAATACATTTCCGAAATTAAAAAAAAACAATAAGAGAATATTTCAGAATGTACTTCTGAAAACACCATATTTTTGTTAAAAAATAAGGGGTTGTTTCGGAAATGCATTTCCGAAACATGCTTTGACACATGATAAGAATTCTTGGGACCAAATTGCTATAAATCTTCTATAAATAGGATGTCTAAACCATTTCTTTAACATCATACACCACAAATCAATTATCAAAATATTGCGACGTCCTCAGTTACCCGCTTATAACAACACGTAATATTAAATTTATGTTTCAATATCCATGTAATTTCGATTTTCAATATTAAATTTATGTTGATGTTTATATAATATCTATGTAATATCAATGTTTCAATATCTATGTTATATCTACAAAATTTTCTGTCTCAAATTTGCTGTTTTGCTGAAATTATTTAATGTCTATTTCGGAAATGTACATCTGAAATATAACATTGAGTTTCTTTAGAAATACATCTCTAAATTCAACAAAAAAAAGAAATTTCGTAACTTCGGTAATACATTTCCGAAATCACCTAAGAAAAAAAATGAAATTTCGTAACTTCAACAATACATCTTCAAAATCACTCTAGAAAAAATAAATTCTAATGCGTTCAAAGATACATCTCCGAATTTTAGAGATAAAAACGAAATTTCACCATAAATAACTAAAAATGCGTAATAGATAGAGAAAGAAATTTCCAATCCATTAATCTCCCACTCTCTTGCTTTGTTTCTGATAAAAGATAGAATATCTTATTAAATATAAAATAGAAAAAGGGCAAATAACCGATATTTTTTTAAATATTTTTTTTCGAGAATAAGTTATACAAACAGTGTAGCAAATTCAATCGGGAACGAAAGTCCTCATTGGTGAAATTCTAGGGCAAGCAGAACCTCTGTAACAAAGAACCCAAGTCACCGTTTTACGGTTTTCTTCTCTTCATTCCCCCCTATAAAACCACTCGTATTTGTGTATTTTACTCGCACAACAACTTTCACATCACGAAATTAGGGTTTGCAATGAGTCACAGAGGAATGGACCGCGACGACGAAGACGACGAGGATTACGAAGAGCAGGGCGTTGATTTCGACGAAGAGGAGGCGGATGAGGAAGAGGAGGAAAGAGGCGCTGGAAAGAAGCGGAGGAGATCTAGCTATATCGATGATGATGCGGACGAGGTTGATGAAGACGAGGAGGAAGAGGATGATGGAGATGATGATTACGATGGCGGCGGAAAAGCTAGCAGCCGGAAGCGGCAGTACAAGAAAGTTTCTGCTTCGAATTTCTTTGATGAAGAGGCTGAGGTTGATACGGATGATGAAGAGGAGGAAGAAGAAGGAGAAGACGGTTTGTTTTTTTTTACTTCCTATTTTTTTTTGCTTTTTTGTTTTTATTTCATCAATTTCAGTTTGGTTTAGATTAGAGGGAAATTAGTATTGAATTAGGGTTGAAACTATGATGCGTGAGATTCGAGAATGATTTGTGACTGGGTTCTCATGAGATTGAAATTCATCATTGTTGATAATAAGTAGGTGCAGATGTTACTATCGGTGTTTTTGTTGTAGTTATATTGATTTAAGTTTAGAGAGTTACTTGAAGGTAAAAAAATAGGATTATCCAAACAAGGGTTTGTGTTTTAATCAGAAAATCGATGAAGTGAATGTGACTTTAAAGCATATTCTTAGGATTTGATTATGCATATGATGGTTAAACTTCCGCTTACTCTCTCCCTGTTCAGATTGTAGTTTTTTCATGTCTTCTTGCACTGGTAGTTCTCATCCATACCGCCTTCTGAATGTTTATTTCTCCTTTTAAGAGTTTTGAATTTTCGATACTAGGCTATACAATATTTGTCCTCTGAATATGGTATATTATGTTTATGAACTGAAATCATATCTAGTAACTTTAGAAGTATATTTTGTGATACACTAGTTCATAATATATAGATTTCTTTAAGCCCTTTATGTCCAGTAACTTGTTTGATATACATGTATATTTTTTGTATAATGATGGGAAAGGATTGAATTTCTTGTGTTTCTACTGTTTTGCTCAATGTTGGACATTTTTTATGACATTGTTTTGCTCAGGCCCTAAGCTATATCATATAAAGTGCGTCTGTTATCCATGTTGATAAGCTGATAACCATCTAATCATCATGCAGATTTCATTGTTCAGCCTGAAAATGATCTGCCAGAGGATGACGATAATAGAGGGAGGCCCCGGCACAGACTGCCACCCCACCAAGAAGAACATGAAGATCTTGAAGCAGTAGCAAGGAGCATTCAAGAGAGATATGGTAAGCATCGGATGGCAGAATATGAAGAAGAAACTACCGATGTAGAACAACAAGCACTTCTGCCGTCTGTGAGAGACCCAAAGCTGTGGATGGTCAAATGTGCGGTATGATCCTCGCATAGTTTTTGTTGTTTTATTTGTTCTGACTACTGCTAAGGATACAAGAGTATGTCTCATCCTTTGGTTTATGCTCCTCAGATTGGCCGCGAGCGTGAAACAGCTGTTTGCCTCATGCAAAAGTACATAGATAAGGGATCTGAATTGCAAATTAGATCAGCTATTGCACTTGATCATCTTAAAAACTATATATATGTGGAGGCAGATAAAGAAGCTCATGTTAGAGAGGTATCATGGGAAATAGCTATTGTTTATCACACGTAATTCTTGTACAAAATTGTTAACTTTTTTACACGTGTTTCAGGCTTGTAAAGGTCTTCGAAATATATTTGGACAAAAAATAACACTTGTCCCAATAAGAGAAATGACCGATGTGCTATCAGTTGAAAGCAAAGTTATTGATCTTGCTAGAGATACATGGGTTAGAATGAAGATAGGCACTTATAAGGGGGACCTCGCCAAAGTATGCATTGTATTCTGGAAAATTTATGATCCTATCTCTCACCTGCTCTAATTTGCCACCTATTTTATATCTCCTCAACAGGTTGTGGATGTTGATAATGTGCGACAGAGGGTTACTGTGAAACTAATTCCGAGAATAGACTTACAGGCTCTCGCAAACAAGTTGGTATGAATTTTTTTTTTTTTGGTCTTGAAGAATGCATGTTTTATATTTGTTGAATGTTTTAACTTCTTTGTAAAGTTAAATAACTCCAGTCTCTGTTTTCTGTGCAAAATTTATTTATCATGCAGGAAGGTAGAGAGGTTGTGAAAAAGAAGGCATTTGTTCCCCCTCCTCGTTTTATGAATGTTGATGAAGCTAGGTAATGTTGATTCTCATAGCTTTTGCTAATATGTTTCTACTCTCTATGAACCTTATTGGTTCCTGGTCTGACCGAGTTTAAGCTTTATATCAGGGAACTGCATATCCGTGTGGAGCATAGGCGTGATGCCTATGGGGAACGGTTTGATGCCATTGGTGGCATGATGTTCAAAGATGGGTTCTTATACAAAACTGTATCTATTAAATCCCTCAGTGCCCAGAACATCAATCCTACGTTTGATGAGCTTGAAAAGTTTCGTAAACCAGGCGAGAATGGAGATGTAGCCAGTTTGTCAACTCTGTTTGCAAACAGAAAGAAAGGACATTTCATGAAGGGTGATGCTGTTATTGTTGTCAAGGGTGATTTGAAGAATTTGAAGGGATGGGTGGAGAAAGTGGATGAGGACAATGTTCATATAAGGCCAGAAATAAAGGGTCTTCCTGTAAGTATGAATTGATATTTGACTTTTTTTTTTTTTTTTCCCATTGTATAGTCTGCAAGTTTTGCATGTTGATGATTATTGATAAATTGCTTAAATGATGATCTAATTGTCTAGTTTTCTCTCTCTTTCCATTGGCTTAGAAAACTCTTGCAGTAAATGAAAAGGAACTTGTTAAATATTTTGAACCTGGAAACCATGTTAAAGTTGTTTCTGGTGCTCAAGAGGGTGCGACTGGCATGGTTGTAAAGGTGGAGCAGCATGTTCTGATCTTAATATCTGATACCACAAAGGAGCATGTGAGTTTTATGGTTTTTGATTGAAAGAATTCTGAATTTCTACTTGCATTTAGTGCGGAAATGACAACAAATATTCTCTTTTCAGATCCGTGTGTTTGCAGATGATGTTGTAGAGAGTTCGGAAGTAACCACCGGCGTGACTAGAATTGGGGACTATGAACTTCGTGATCTTGTATTGCTAGAGTAAGCATCTTTCTTATGCCTGAGATAAAGCTGAAGCACATTTTACCCTCCTGTGTTGTGGTTCAAACTTTTCTTACTTCTAACTTAACCTGGTGCAGTAATTTGAGTTTTGGTGTGATAATCCGTGTAGAGAGCGAAGCATTTCAGGTTAGTATCTTAACGAATCAAAAGTTCAAGACTTTCTCAGTTAAAGTTAAGACTTTTTGGCATTATTTATTGTCTTTTGCCTTTGTTAGGTTCTTAAGGGGGTCCCTGACAGACCTGAAGTTGTGCTTGTTAAATTAAGAGAGATCAAGTGTAAGATAGAGAAGAAAATAAATGTGCAAGACAGGTTTAAAAATACAATATCATCAAAAGATGTTGTGAAGATAGTTGATGGTCCCTGTAGAGTGAGTTTCTGACTGTTGGCTAGATTTTGTTTTCATGGAAGTTGATATTTCAGATTTAACACTTTCTTTTTGTTAGGGCAAACAAGGTCCTGTGGAGCACATATACAGAGGGATCTTGTTCATCTTTGATCGCCATCATCTTGAACATGCGGGCTTTATATGTGTTAAGGCCCACTCATGTGTAGTTGTTGGAGGTTCTCGCTCCAACGGTGACAGAAATGTATCCACTTTCCTGTTTTGATTCTTCAGTTTTTTTTCTTCGATTTTGTTTTTATGAATTTAAAACTCTGTCATCAGTGTGATGTTTTGCTTACTTTATTTGCTTCCACTTCAGGGTGATGCGTATGGAAGATTCTCCGGTTTTAAAAATCCACCTCGCATTCCACAGTCCCCAAAGAGGTTTTCTCGAGGAGGGCATCCGTCTGACTGTATGTTTAAATCTTTCCATGTGTATAATGCTAAACATTGGATCAACCTGTTATTGTAACATGTTTTTTCCATAAAGTTGTTTGATGTTACTTTATATGGATGTGGTAAAGCTGGAGGGAGGCATAGGGGTGGTGGAAGGGGGCATGATGGTTTGACTGGTGCAACTGTTAAAGTACGCATGGGTTCGTATAAAGGTTATCGTGGACGTGTTATAGAAGTTAAAGGAACATCTGTCCGGGTTGAATTGGAGTCCCAGATGAAGGTTGTAACAGGTAAGTCTTGTAATTTGGCAAACACCTGAGCTGCCTGCATCTTTGCATTCACATGTTCTCTGACTTGGTTATTTGCAGTTGATCGCAATCATATAACTGACAATGTGGCTGTTACCCCACAACGGTAAGTTATATATATCTACATAAAATTTGTGGTTTCTTGTGTGTATTGGAAGATAATCAATCATAAGTCTTGTGTTCTGCCAGTGAAACATCTCGATATGGGATGGGAAGTGAAACCCCAATGCATCCATCTCGAACTCCTTTGCATCCATATATGACTCCGATGAGAGATCCCGGAGGTACGATTGATTTTATGTTTCTAGTTCTAGGACTCTGCTTTGTATATATTTTTTTGAAAGCTAAACATTTGAGTGTGCTGTAAACTACTAATATTTGTTAAATGTATTTCTATTTGCAGCAACTCCAATTCATGATGGAATGAGGACACCTATGCGTGATCGTGCTTGGAATCCTTATGCACCAATGAGTCCTGCTAGGTTTGTTCTAACATCATCCTTCCTTCCTAGCTTGATATGTGCTATGATATAGCCCCCTTAGTTTTTCCTTCTGTTTTGTATGCTGATTGCTGAGGATTTTTTCAAGAGTTTTCTTGTACCAGTATAGGTTAAAGACACAATAATATCAACTACCCAACTTTTTAATATATACTAGTATTCTAAGTTCAAGCTATTAGAACAGGAGGGTTGTAACGAATCAGTAGTTAATATCTAAATGTATTTTGGCTCAGTATACAGTCTGCACCCTCATCTTATTAGTGGTATAGTGTTTCTTGTTTATGAATTCTGATGGTAAAATAAATTCAGGGATAACTGGGAAGATGGAAATCCAGGCTCTTGGGGAGCCAGTCCACAGTACCAGGTCAGGCATATTAGCTAACTTCAGACAATCTGCTACTGTAATTCATTTGTGGAACCATACTGAACCATGCTGATCTTTATTTTTTATTGTTTTTTCCTTCTGTTTAATCTTTTCAGCCAGGAAGCCCTCCTTCCCGACCATATGAAGCCCCAACTCCTGGTGCTGGTTGGGCTAATACTCCTGGTGGCAATTATAGTGAGGCTGGAACCCCACGGGACAGTTCTGCCTACGGTGATACTGCTTCTTATTTCCCTGAGATCATTAGAATATTATTAGGCTTTAGTTTTTTAATACTAATTCTATTTGGACGGATCGGGATTGTATTGCAGCGAATGCTCCTAGCCCATATTTACCATCAACACCAGGTGGGCAGCCTATGACACCAAATTCCGCGTCTTATCTTCCTGGCACCCCCGGAGGACAGCCTATGACTCCCGGAACTGGCGGTCTAGACATGATGTCTCCGGTATTAGGTAACTTTTTTATCAACCTTCAGATTTAGCATGCACAAAATATGAAAATGATTAGTACTCTGCACATGTATTTGGATGGCCACTTGTATTTTGTTTTATTTAAATTCAGGTGCCAGCCAAATATGATCTACACTGCAGTGGATATTCTAGTTAAAACATTATATCTCTTCCTATTAATATCTTCTAATCCATCCATTATTATGAACCGCTGATTGTGGGAAATAGCCTTTTGTTCACATTCTGCTACGTAACAATGCTATGACCGTTATTTAAAAATATTTTGTACTAAATAGCATATTGCAGGAAAATAATGATTTGTTCAAATACCGCAATATGCTATAACACCCCTAATTATCAAATTCCGTTCCGCTTGTCCCACATTGAGTATCACTTTAGGTTAATTCAAATAGATATAAAAAGCTGTAAATAAACAAGTCTAACAATTTTACCAAATTATCTTTATTAACAATTGGGTGTTAATGATTGTCATGAATTTATAAAGGGGTATAATTTAATAATAAGTGTTACTTTGAAAAGATAAAGCGGCATTTATTTTGCGACATTTTTCTTATGTTTATGTGATACACAATATGGGACTGAAGAAGTTAACATATCAGGGTGGTTTTCAGTAAAAACACTATATGGTCCTACTGCCCTCCATTATTATTTTGATCTTGAGATAATTTGTGATTTTGTGTTGTATTGTGGAGATTATCCTCCAAGCATTTACCAAACGTAGTCCTGGTTCTATTTCTTGAATCACTTAGCTTAGTAGATTGGATCATCAATTTATCAGCAAGATTTGAAAATGGCTTGTTATTTCTTCCACATGCATTTGTCAATGTTTAATTTTGTTGTAGGTGGGGACAATGAAGGGCCTTGTCTTATGCCAGACATATTGGTCAACGTACACAGGGCTGGAGAAGAATCTGTTGGAGTTATAAAAGAAGTTCTTCCGGTATGTTGACCCATAAGCGTTGTTTTGGCTTCATTACATGATATGAAAAGTATTTTAAATTTTATGTTAAATATAGTTTTAGATTATCTGTTGAGGTTTGGTTTTTTATTTTCTCCGTTATTCTTGTGCTTGTTTTTCTTTGATATTAGAATCATGATAGATAAATATCAAACCATAATTGTGACTCAGTCTCATTTGTTATCAAAAACCTCATATCTTCAAACATAGGACACTATCCATACACATTATAAGCAATAAAAATGTTTCAATTCTTGGTCACTATTATAATCAAAAGTCAATTATTACTAAATCATTTGATGTTGTAATTCCTAATATACCCCTCTTTCATTTTTCAACATTAAAAGTTAACTACACTTATTGAATTTTTTAATAACCGTGAAAACCATTTTTGTTGCTTATAAATGTGTCCTAAGGGTGTACTATTTAATATTAATGCATGAAACTATTCTCGTTATTATTCTTTTCAATTGTTTGGGTTTCCAGCATTGACTTTGACGAGCATTATTTTCTTCAGGATGGTTCTTATAAGGTAGCTCTTGGGTCTAGTGGAAATGGTGAAACCATTTTTGTTGCTTATAAATGTGTCCTAAGGGTGTACTATTTAATATTAATGCATGAAACTATTCTCGTTATTATTCTTTTCAATTGTTTGGGTTTCCAGCATTGACTTTGACGAGCATTATTTTCTTCAGGATGGTTCTTATAAGGTAGCTCTTGGGTCTAGTGGAAATGGTGAAACATTAACTGCCCTTCCTGCTGAAATGGAGGCTGTAATTCCAAGAAAATCTGATAAGATAAAGATAATGGGAGGGGCGTTGCGGGGTTCCACTGGCAAGTTGATCGGTGTGGATGGCACTGATGGCATTGTTAGAGTAGATGATACATTGGATGTGAAGATTTTAGACTTGGTTATTTTGGCAAAATTAGCTTGACCATGATATCTTTCTTGTAGAGCAATTATTTAACATCAATGCTATATAGTACGGAAGAGTATTTAACGTAAACATTCCTCACTCGCCCAATATTTTATAGACCAGATTGAACTGGACAGTCAAAAAAGTCGAACTGGAAATTGGAGTCTGGTCCAGTTCAGTCCTAAATAAGAGCCTCCCGCACAGTTGAAATTGACAAAATCAAAATTTGATGAGTTAACAAATTGCAACTCTCGTCGTAACAAAATTTAATGAAAGACATATTTCGATCATTGTTGATTTGAGATTAGTATGTATAAGAATGCAAATAGTATTCACTAGTACTAGGTAGCTGCAAATAATAGTATTTACTAGTACTAGGTAGCTGTAAATAATTTCAGTATATAAGTTTAATCGCAATGTTTTGTTGAGGCATTTGATAGCATTTTATACCATAAACAACTGTTGAGATTGTTAATTAGTATTAGAATATATATATAAGCTCACAATTTTATCGAAATGAACTGTAACTAGTTAACCTAATGTACTAATATTACGTTAGTGTTGCTTTTAAAAAGATATAATAAATTAATTGTCATTTTATTAAAATAAGTGAATATATATCTTAGTATGTCTCATACTTACATAATGTACAATTATCTTAGTATATACTCCGGCTCAGCCTCATACTTACATAATGTAGTTATATATTTTAATTAATATTATTTTTTATAAAAAATATATTTCTATCTATTTTAAAGAATATATCACAATTAAATTACATATTTTATTGTGTTTGTTTATGTAACAGGTACATGTAGGAGTATTTCCTCCAGTCTCATTATTATAAGTAAAAATTCTATTTTTATATTTGTTTATAATAATGATTAGAGAGAGTATTTAAATGCTCACAGGATATAGGTATAAATACATGTATAAAAGTTGACATCCACGCAAATATGGACTCGGATACGAAGGTATTTTCAAACTGTAATATGGTAAAAGGTATTCTATCTAACCCCACCATTGTCATCCTTGATAATAACTTTTTATTACTGTGTTGATTATTGTCATATTGTAAGACATCCACGCAAATATGGACTCGGATACGAAGGTACTTTCAAACTGTGATATGGTAAAAGGTATTCTATCTAACCCCACCATTGTCATCCTTGATAATAACTTCTTATTACTGTGTTGATTATTGTCATATTGTAACTGTTCTGGACCAGCGATATTTCCTTTGTTCTAACCATCTGAGATGAAATACCTCAAATTCTGACCTATCAACCAAATACTTAGTCGACTTCTAAAATATTCTTCGGATCGCTGAACTATCATGTACTTAGTTGTAGGAGATTCATGTCTCATACACATTTAACAGTCCTCTACATTTCAAGTCTGAAAGATAGAGAGGCAATTATTCTTCTATATATATATATATATATATATATATATATATATATATATATATATATTAAAATCTTACAGATATTTTTCAAGTGACAAGTTTCGAATATAATTTGAATATTCTCTACTCATTCACATATTATATATAGTGCAAACTTTAAAGATACTTTTCACGTGACAAGTTTCAAATATAATTTGAATATTCTCTACTCATTCACATATTATATATAGTGCAAACCTTAGAGATACTTTTCAAGTGACAAATTTCAAATATAATTTGAATATTCTCTACTCATTCACATATTATTTAGAGTGTAAACGTTACAGATACTTTTCTATTACGTTGTGTCAGAAGTTCTTCTTTGCTGCAGTTTTCACAACCCTTCATATTTTTGATTTCCGAGTGAAACAGTAACAATGATCTATTACATAATTTATATAAATTTAAAAATTCTAGTTATATGATTTAATTATTTCTATTTACTTATGATTTTATTTTTTGAAAATTGATTATATTTTCATTTAAATTTATATAATGACATCAAACAGTTTTATAATTTTATAAAAATTAAATTATTAGTGCAAATCGGTTTTGTAAGAATTTATGATTTGATGGCTGAGTTAGTAGAATTTTTTTTTTGTTAATAAGTTATTGAGCGCAATAACTCATTTCAAAGTTATTTATAGAGTGGTTGTTTGGAGCTTGTCAAAAACATGTCTGAAAGCGACAACGTGATTCCCAGAAATAAGGTGGACGGTCTAATTCGCAAGTTTAGGAAGAGATTGAAGGATTTCTTAACTGTTAGGGTTTCCTACATACTCAAAATCAACAATAGTTATGTGCATAACATTGCAAAACGTATAAACTTTATGACTGATAAAAATGGATCGGATAGTGGTACTATAGCCCATTGAACAGATTGTAAGGTGTTCCGTTTTCTTTTAATAAATTTTTTCTAAAAATAGTTACTTATATAGAGTGACATTCAGTGTTTTAAAATTCAGTCCGATCCACCCAGTCGGACCGGTCTGATCGAGAACCGGTGGGCCAGGCGGATCAATTAAGGGATAAAATCAGAATTACATTTAGATCGGATGAAACCGGTGTGAACCGGCCGGATCACCGGTTAAACCAGTGAATCAGTGAGTTTGACTATTTATTTTATTTTTTAGGGCTTTTGAAAATTTTTTTAACATAAACGCTTTGTCTCCTCGTTTCTCAAACCTAGACATTTGAAATGTTTTTTTTTTAATTCTGTCTTTTCTTTTTCTAATTGAAGTCATATTCTCAATTTTTTCTATCAACAAAAACTCCCACTTGCTGCTGTTATTTGATATTTCTTGTTTGCCGTAAAAAATTTCATCAAAATGTCAAAAACAAATTATTTCTTTTTTACTTGGTCTAATTTGCATTGATGTTTTTCAATATGAATATTATTATTTCATTTTGTTGATTAATTGATATAGAAAATAAATGATTAAATTTGATCATTTTTTATAAAATTGGGTCTTTTAGTTTAACAAATTGAGATAGAATTTGTATGAATGAAGCAATTTTATACTTTTATGAATTAACTTATTATAGACGGGTAATGAAGTTGTTGTATATTGGAGATAGAAATTGGGATAGATATATATTACTGTAATAGTCGTTGCATATATTATGGAGATAGAAATTGAGTTTAAAACTATGTAATCTAAATTATATAGTAAGACAAAAAATTTTGTTTTTTATTAATTTAAATTATATAACAAACAAAAATTTCAGGATTTTATTAATCTAAAATATATAACAAAGGCTGAAAAGCAAAGTTTCTATTTTTTTTATTATATATGGTGATGCGCAGTAACGATGTTTGGTAGTCTATAACAACATATTCATATATTTTGGATTTAGATATGCTACATATTTAATGTTTCTTATAATATTTTTATAAATTCAATAATTTTTATTTAGAATTGTGTTTTGTTAATATTTTTGTAATATAGTTTTGTATTTTTAAATTTTAATTGATATTAGATATGACATCACCCGCTGAAGTAATAACTTCGGAAGAAGTTACATCTCAAAATTCAATCCAACTCTAGAGCAGTAGGGGAAAAACTGATATAGCTTGGGCTCATTGTAAACAAATTGAAGAGAAAGGAAAATTTGTTAATTTGTGTATTTACTGTGATAAAATTATTAGAGGAGGGGAGATTAATAGGTTCAAATTCCATTTGACTGGAATAAAAGGTCAAGTTGAAACATGTAAAAAGGTGCCTCCAGATGTTCAATATCAAATGAAACAAAATCTTGATGAAGGTGCAAATAAGAGAAGAAAGACTCAAGCACAAAATTTTGATGTTGATCTTACTACTCAAGAGGGTGGTGTAGTAGAAATGGATGTAGAACAATCAAGATCAAATTCGGTGATTGTGTCTCAAAAGAGAAAGAATACTAGTCGTATTGGTAATTATTTTATGCCTAGAACAACTCATGGAGCTCAACCTTCTTTAAAAAGTGTGTTATAAAGTAAGGAATTGGTGGAGAAGTGTGATCTAGCTATTGCAAGATGGTTCATTGATTCTTCAGTGCCATTCAATGCAACTAATTCAGCGTATTTTCAATCTATGGCTGATGCACTTTGCAGCATGAGTCCGGGGTATAAAGTTCTAACTATGCATAGTCTTCGTGGCTATTTATTAAATAAATGGGTTGAAGATGTGAGCAAATTGATAGAGGAGTATCGTGAGATTTGGAAGAAAACTGGTTGTACTCTAATGGCCGATGGATGGACTGATCGAAAAAGAAGAACTCTTATAAACTTTCTAGTTTATTGTTCCAAAGGTACTATTTTTCTAAAATCCTTTGATGCTTCTCATGCTTCAAAAACTGCAGATATGTTGTATAAGCTTTTTAGAGAGGTGGTTTTATTTGTTGGGCCTGAAAATGTAGTTCACATAGTGACAGATAATGCTGCAAATTATGTTGCTGCTGGAAGGTTATTAGAAAATGAGTTTCCTACTTTATTTTGGTCTCCTTGTGCGGCACATTGCATTAACTTGATGTTGCAAGACATGGGAAAATTAGAGGAAGTAAGTGAGAGAGTGTCACATACTTCTAATGTTACCAAATATATTTATAACCATTGTTATGTATTGTATTTAATGAGAAAGCAAACAAGTGAAAGAGAAATTCTTCGTCCTGCTTCAACTCGGTTCGCCACTAATTTCATTACTTTGCAAAGTATTTTGTCTCACAAAAACTCACTAAGAGCCATGGTAACATCTAAAGAATGGACAAGCTCATCATATGCCAAAGAAGAAAAGGCAAAATAATTTATGGATCAAGTTTTAGATTCTGGATTTTGGAGTAAATGTGCTGATGTAGTTAAACTCACTGAACCACTTATGCGTGTGTTGCGTATTGTTGATAGTGAAGATAAACCTGCTATGGGCATTCTATACAAATATATAGTCAAAGCTAGAGAGAAGATGGTGAGGAGGTTTCAAAGAAATAAGAAGAAAGTGGATCCTTACTTGAAAATCTTAGCTCTGCAAAAATCTTCATGCTGCCGGTTATTGATTGAATTGAGCTTGTAGATATAATAATGTAGAATTTGAAAAAC